AAGCTCAAGTTTTGGCTACAGTATTTCAAAAGAAACTTGACTTTGGTGACATCGCCATCTAAGATCGCTTGATTGAAGACCAAGTTAGAGTTCGAAGACCATCGGGTCAATCCAACTTTTTCAGAAAATTTGTGATTCATTGATGTTAATTTCGCACAAAATTTAACGTTAAAACCATAATGACGGAACTAAAGAAAGAAGAGGAAAACCACATTGACATGGACGCACATATACTTCCCTCGTCCATCGCATCGGATATTACATTTTCTTGACTGGGACGCTGCTTCCCGTTCAGTGAGATTGATTATTTTGTCACCGCAACCAACGAGCATGTAACGATGACACAAACTGTCTAAACATCTCTGTTTGTGTTCATTTCAGGCTGTTCACTTTAGAAGTTCTAAGGATAAACATAGACGGGGATAAGTCAATACTTTTTAGATCAGGATTCGTTAGAAGAAATAAAATAGAGCGTGCTCAGTATCCAGCTGTTTGACGCAGGTGAGTTATTCAGTGGTCATGACGTCACTTCCGGGTCGTTCCAGTTTACTAGCGCGGCCCAAGTGATGGATTTTAATTGCCATTTTTTACCATATATTTACTAATATTTTATTGGTTGACAGCCAGGCAGGTAGATTGTGGCGGGCTGTTTGGCTTGGTGGCAGACTGGCTGGTTGCTTAATTGGCGAGTTGCTGAGTGATATTATTATTTTTTGACTGATTTTATTCATTTGTTTACTTAATCGATCGGTCGATAAACATGGCTTGCCATTACATTTTACCACTGTATTTTTATTCATTCATTTTTTGTTCCTTTTCTTTTCATTTTTTATTTATATTTTAATAGTTGGGTTCTCTGTGTCTTCGCATCATAACCAGATCACAAAATTAACCAATCAGATCCCGATATTCCAAATATGGGAGATAGGTATAAGAAGACCTGATCGACAAGAAATCGATCTCTTGATTACATTGCTCAAAGCCAGTGCTATCTCCAAGGAAAGATCAACTTTAGCAGTTTGTAAGAACTGAAATCATACGATAATTCCATCATGACGAACTCAGGAAAACTGCCTTATAAAGTTGGTAAGTGAAAGACCTGGAAAAAGTCCGTAGAAATGCTCGATTATCGTAGATTATTTGAGTACACGTGCATAAGTTCAGGAACATTTTTTCTCAATGTGAAGATTGTGCAACACAAATAATTTTAATAGTTTAGTTCTTTGCAGTAATATTACAAAGGTTTGTTTAGGATCGGCTTGTTTAGGGTTATGGATGCTGTCACTCCATATGATGCCGAATTCAGTCACGTAGTTGTATGTATAAACTTTCTCACATCGAAGTGTGAATATCGTGAATTTACTCTACATTGTAAAATTATATTCTCTCTCCTTTGTGTGCAGATAAAACATGTATCATTGGCATATTTAATTAGTACGTTAGCGCAAAGTATAATAAGTTTTTTAGTTTGCACCTTTGAAATATAGCAAAGTGCATGTGACTTTAAGAGGTGTCAATTTTCTGAAGGCATCTTTCCAGAAACTTTCACACTAAGTACCTGTTCACGTAGTCACTACATGTAGCCAGTGAGCAACAAGTGTTATGAGTTGCCCAATTTGATGGTAAATATTTTTTTGTGTTATCCAAAAATCCCCCCCAAAAATCAACAACAATACAACAACAAAAATAAATGATTTTTGTACATATTTATGTACTTAAGCTTTATAAATGTTTCAAGCTAATACTTTTAGTAGTCTAAACAAAGCATGTCTAAAATGTTAGCAAATTCTATGTTGAGCATTATGTGGGGACCCTYCAGGGGATTACCTGTTTGACCTCCATRGGAATAGTACTGGCTCTAGTAGTTTTCCCAGGTCATAGTCTATTATGTTAATTTATGCAAGGGATAGTCATAGCTATTCAGGCATGTGATGTTGAAATATTGTATTTAAACTGTTTTTTTCAATTGTTATATTTTGTAAAGGATTTCTTTTGAAATTTTAATCCTAAATGTCAAGTAGAGTAAAATTGTCTTGAAGACAAAACTTTACATTTTGTATAGTGGAATTATATTTATTTTCCTTGTTCTTTATGAATAATTTTTTCCATTTCTTAAATTTTATTTATATTTTGCGAATTACATTTTATAATATTCTTTATTTCAATAATATTGTAACATTTTCTATGCAAGGACAGCAATGTTTGGAAACTTGGATAGATGACTTGTCTATATTGTGGTTTTCATGATACTGATATAATCCATCATTTTATATCTTGACAAATATAATTGGACAAAAATGTCTCAGCTCAAGTGCTCTCTGATATCATTTTCCTTTGTTTTTAGCTGATATCAGTCTTGCTGATTGGGGTCGCAAGGAGATTGAACTGGCTGAAAATGAAATGCCAGGTCTTATGGCMTTGCGMAAGGAGTTTGGAGACTCCAAGCCATTGAARGGTGCCAAGATTGCTGGTTGTCTCCACATGACAATCCAGACAGCTGTCTTGATTGAGACATTGACYGCCCTTGGTGCTGAGGTATGTAKWGATYAGYAGTGTTTGTCCATAAAATGTAGCTGTAATAAGTACTGACTGTTTTGGAGTACAAACAATAAAAACTAATATCACTAAATACTACTTCATTATGGTTCTTTTATTGATTGTGTACTTAGCATTATTGAGTTTCCAAATTTGTGTATGATATTTGTGTTTTAACTCTTACCACTTTTAACTTAGGTACAATGGTCATCTTGCAACATCTTCTCTACCCAAGACCACGCTGCAGCTGCTATTGCCAAGACTGGAGTCCCTGTGTATGCTTGGAAGGGAGAGACTGACGAAGAGTACATCTGGTGTATCGATCAAACACTAGTTTTCCCTGATGGACAGCCCTTGAACATGATCTTGGATGATGGCGGTGATCTCACCAACCTCGTTCATGAGAAATATGCTCAATTCTTACCAGGTACTTAAGTTGATTTCAGGGTAGAGAGGCAGGGGAGGTTGAAGATAGTTTCGGTGAGCATGAGAAGGAAGGGACTTAAGAGGGAGATCCTATTTTAAAATGAGTTGAACAAACCTAGACTGAACAGTTGTGCAGCGCATTATATTTGTACTTGTAAAAAATAAAGGCAAAACTTTATCATATTTCTGCAATTCAGGAAGCAACATCATTTCTTGACTTCTTAAAATTCTTAAAAGATTCTTGTTCATATGTTGGCAGTACATTAAATATATTCATATTCATATTTCTGCAATTCAGGAAGCAACATTATTTCTTGATTTCTTAAAAGATTCTTGTTCATATGTTGGCAGTACATTAAAAAGTCCCTGAATTCTCTCCAAACTAAGCAAAGCAAACTCCCTTATTGAACAATTTGTATTCATACATGTATTCTAAAGAAGTCTTTTAATGTTTGTTTGTAGGCATTAGAGGATTGTCAGAGGAGACCACRACTGGTGTCCACAACCTTTACAAAATGAARGAGAAGGGTGAACTCAAAGTCCCAGCCATCAATGTCAACGACTCTGTTACAAAGAGCAAGTTTGATAATCTGTACGGCATCCGTGAATCCCTTGTTGATGGTCTGAAGAGAGCAACAGACATCATGTTGGCAGGAAAAGTAGTTGTAGTGGCTGGTTATGGTGATGTTGGCAAAGGCTCTGTCCACTCACTTAAAGGCTTTGGTGCTAGAGTTATTGTTACAGAGATTGATCCCATTAATGCTCTACAAGCAGCCATGGAAGGTGAAGCATTGCAAATTATGTCACAATAATCCCTTTTTCAGGTCTGCTTGTTTACATGGGGGATGATTCAGTTTCAAATTGTTTGAGTTTGTTAGCATGTCCACTTACCCATGCAGAAACTGAACTGGCCCCAACTTTAAACAGAATATTGAGCGTAAAGAGAAGTTGGAAGATTTTGTGCATTTGTTCACTGTCCTTATATCATTAGGTGCTGTATAGTCTAATTAATTTTGATCATTAAAACCTTTATATTTTGTATCCCCAGGATTTGAGGTCTTAACCATGGAGGAAGCTTGTTCAAAAGCAAATATTTTTGTAACTGCAACAGGATGCAGTGGAATTATCACCAAAGAGCACTTCTTGAAAATGAAAAATGATGCCATTGTTTGCAACGTTGGACATTTTGACTGTGAAATTGATGTTGCTTGGCTAAACGAAAATTGCAAAAAAGATGTTATCAAACCTCAGGTATGAAGAAAGATATATATATAATGTATGTACGATGATAATGAAGATGGCTGTGTTGATAAGTGGTGATGGTATTTGTAGACATATTGATGGTCAAAAGCATAGCTAAAACATTGCAACTTTCAAAATGGTTTGGGGACAATTGCAGTGGAGAGTCATTAGAAAATATAAAGGCTATACTGTAGCTTGCCCATGGGTTTTGTACACACAAAAAATTTGCTCTTAGGATGACAGCAATAGTAGCAGTGACAATTGATAATCTGTTTTGACATCACAGGTTGATAGATACACTCTTCCTTCTGGAAACCATGTCATCCTTTTGGCTGAAGGTCGTCTAGTTAACCTTGGATGTGCAATGGGTCATCCTAGCTTTGTTATGAGTAATTCTTTCACCAATCAAGTCCTTGCACAAATTGAGCTTTGGAGCAAGAGTAAAAATTATGAAATTGGAGTTTATATGCTTCCAAAAACGGTAAGATTATAATTTGCAGCGACTGGCTTGATAATAGAGTGCTTTTCTGTAGAATAGTATGTCTGTTAATGTTAGGTATCTTGACAATTTAGTAACTAACCCTTTATTGTCTTTTCAGCTTGATGAGAAAGTTGCTTCTCTTCATCTTGATCATCTTGGAGTCAAAATGACAAAGCTCACCTCAAAGCAAGCAAATTACCTTGGTTTACCAGCTGAAGGCCCATTCAAACCAGAATACTACAGATACTAGGCATAGAACTCACAATGCTGTGTAACGGACATATACATTGAACTTTGACATGTACTGATAGCAAGTCTGGTGTTGCCAGAGCTGATTTAGGGATTTACATGTATGTGATGCGTGGAAAGTGTTTTAACAGGGGAAATTAAAAGATGTTGCATTGTAATAAAAAATAACAAACCATCTTCTTATTCTTGCATTTAGTGATGATATTCCCTGATAGCATATCCTTTCAACTGTGAAATCTTCTTCTAGCAGCTATGGAAGTCATTATGGTTAACACTGCAAAATRCTATAAAGTTATTTTTCCCAGGCTGTAAAAATGCTTAAGKGGTTTATACATGACTCACTATTGTGTGCACACAATATCTGGCATTATTYCATAGTCTGGGGAAAATCACTATACWAAAAGAAAAGTGATCGGAAAGGGAGGGGCTTAAGCGAGTGGTGAAAWTTGTAAGTGAACAAAATATTCTTGAATGAAGTGATTAAAATACATAATATTTACTATCTGTAGAAGAAGGAAAATGGATGCCAAAATAAAGGTATAATGGATAGAAAGAGAAGGCAAGAGAATTAAAACATACCTATGCGTGGAATCGATGGAATCACCTTAATTTTTTCAAATGACAAACTGGATCGCGGGCTCCCTGTGTTCTTATTCTGGGGTTCCTGTGCCTTGTGAATGAAAATGGCGGATGAGTTCATTTGATGCGTCCTGTGCGAAAATCTCGATATTTTTCCATGAAGAAACCAGAACTCAACGAATCGGCTTATACTTCTCAACCAGAGAAGGCTTTCTCGTAAGCTTGTGCAGAAAATGGCGTGTGTTTGAGTGAAAAACTAATTCAAAATCCGTAAACAATGCAGAACAGCTGACAAGTGTGCTGAGTTTCTGTACATTTGTTTATAAGTTCAGTTTCTTATACAACAGCGTCTTTACAGCCTCAACTTAGTGGAATAAGATGGACTAAATGGCATTTTTTTTCTTCGCTAACATGTTGAAGAATGTACATCAAATGTTTCATTAATTACATATTAATTACGCTTAAGTAACGTTTAAAGAATTTATGACAAGCATTAAGTTACCACTAGTGCATTTGGCTGAGTTATTTCCAGACCATGTTTCCAAGAAGAATGAAGTTTATTCTATGGTTTACTTGCTTTGTGTTCATTTTCTGTGAATGGCTGGTGTACTATTTAGTAATTTTTCAATGTTCCTGGCCTGAACTAAGTCCAGAAGACAAGCAAAACAACCCAGAGCCTCTCAATGTCATGCTTTTATCGGATCCCCATCTACTAGGCACGCAAGATGGACACTGGTTTGATAAACTAAGGAGAGAGTGGCAAATGGAGAGAGCTTTTCAAACAGCTGCRACCATATTGCAACCAGAAGTGGTTTTTGTGCTGGGGGATTTGTTTGACGAGGGCATGAAATGCAATGACGAGGTGAGTCTATATTTCATTGCGGTTTGTACTGCATCAAATTGCTCATGCATTTAAGAATTTTCAAGGATTGTAGTGGCATGCACATACTTAGTTATAACGTTTTAATGCCGATAATTCTTTATTCAATTTACCAGGAGTTTGATGACTATGTCAATCGATTTAGAAAAATGTTCCGACACTCAGAGGATGTTCATCTTCACGTTACCATTGGTAACCATGACATAGGTTTTCATGACATGTAAGTATTGCTTCATTAAGTCATGCATCCTTCTTTTCTTTCATTCATTTATTCTTTCATTCATTATCCTATGCATTCATTTTTTTTTAATGTCACATCCAATATTTGCAGAGCCTCATCTAATGAAAAAAACTATCAAAGATTTTCAAAAGCTTTCAATATTCCAGATGTGGGACTTTTTCAAATTAAAGGCAATGTGTAAGTACACCATAATGATTATTTTCATCTGTTGTTACCCATCACTCTGCCTTTCTGTCCATCAGCCCATCCAACTATCTGTTCACGAGTCCGTCTTTCTGTCTTTACTATTACTGAAATGACAAAGTATGCTATCAAAAATTTCCAGGTTTGTTACAGTGAATTCGATTGGACTAGAAGGAGACAACTGCACTATGTGTGAATCATCGGTAAATGCCATCAAACAAGTTGCCAACAAGCTCCACTGCAATGACAGAAACCAAAGATCTTTGAGGAGAAACTTAATCAAAGAATTAGCGAAAAAGGAAGAATGCGAGCTTCCATTTGATGCTCCTCTGCCAATTCTGGTTCAGGTTAGTGACTTTTGAACTTATTTTACATTAAATAAAATTTTAATCACATACAGTGTCAGTTAATATTAATGCTGTTAAATGCAGACGAGTAATGTGCCGGGTAAACCATTCATAAATAAAATAAATAAGACATTAGTAAAGTCTAAAGCAGAAAGTCTATAATTCAACTGATTCAACAAACTATCTCTCTTTGGGATAATATCAAAATTAACTGATCAAACAATCCACCATGCAATCAAGATCAGTTTTGATAACTGAATCAGCTGGATAGATTTGAACCCTTTCATCAAAATCCATCAAAATGTTGCATATTAAAGCTTTGACAACTGTCACTCATTTGAGAGACTGTCAATCAATCTACTGTCAGTCACGGTAGAACATGCACAGCATGTAATCCTTTTCTACACTTCAGCATTTCCCATTATATCGAAAAAGTGAAAGCAAGTGTTCTGGTATCGACGCACCTCCACCTGAAGAAATGAAAAAAGAAAACCGACCKAAATGGGAAGTGGTGTCAGAAGAAGCCACAAGTTTGTTRTTAAAGTCATTYATGCCACGCCTTGTTCTTAGTGGCCACACCCATCATGGGTGTTATGTAATACATGAGGATGGGACGCCGGAACTGACCATACCATCGTTTAGTTGGAGGAACAGAAATAATCCWAGTTTTATTATGGTAAGATTTTCAATAGTGACAATGCTTCATTGTTTTTCATAAACACTTAAAATACACTTTATTCCTGATAACCCATGTTTTAATTGACGTTTTTCGTGTCTTATCTTACTTTGTTTATTAGACGTTTTTGAAAAGAACTCTAAATCCGTGAAACAAAAGACTTGTTATACTAGACTAGGTGTCATTCAATAAGACTAGTCTAAGTTTTTATTATACATTGAATCTCACCTGTATCACTGAGATATTTTTAAAAATTATTATTATTTAAAACAACATGAAAGTATTGCTGTAATAAGAAATCTAGCAACACGAAAAATGCTAAAACAAGTTCGTTTGTTTTCCAGGCTGTGATTACGCCCAAGAAATTTCTGTTATCAAAATGTTTCATTCCACAAGAAAACACCGTGATAGCTATATATGTTTTTTCGGCAATTGTCCTTGTAATTGCCAGTGCATCGGTCTTGAAGGCCTACTTGAAGTCACTTCAGAGGAAATTGCTCAGGATGTTGCAAGAAAGACCTTCAAAGCCTACACAAAGATATTACTGAATTATCGAAATTTGACGTTTTTAAAATAATATATTAATGTAGATTTTTGGCAATTTTTGAATAAAGCATATTTTTAAATTTTTTTTATTATGCTAGATTTATGAATAATGTAAGGCAGGAAAATTTTACATACAAGTAAATAACAGCTTTTATCAACAAGTAAAGAACAATGTAATAACAAGCAAATAGCAACGTTTAATGTCATTGAACTGGCTTCCCTTAATTTCATCCAATCAAATCTCGTTTCTCAATATAATTAATTTTTTGTCATTCTTTTCTGATAAACTTGTATAAAATAAAACCAAAGTTTTGCATGAATATATTGCCTTTATTTAGTAGCTATCCGAATGGAATGGTCACTAGCAGAAATTGAAAGTACTTTTTRTTGAACTCAGCACATGTAAGATTCGAGTTATTGAACGGGCACTTATGCCTGTTGGTATGAGATAGGATGCACCCAGAAGAGGCAGTCCTACGATCTAAGGGAACGGGCTGAATAGTGACATTTGAACTTTAGATTTAAAAGTTCCTCTCCAAAGTAGTGCACGCGAAGGACGTGCATTTTAGTAGGCATCGGATATTCCAGTTCTATTCAAGCTTTAAAATTGAAAAGAATCCCGGACCCTGCCCTGTATAGTCTCAGACAATTGTAAGCTTGGTCGATAACTTATGCGGCGCCGAATTTGTGTCTTTATTCTTTTAGGTTTCAACTAGATTAGTCTAAGAAGAGCAAATATAATACCTCGCTACATCTTTATTGTCTATTATGATTTTTTCCGAATTGACGTCACGTCTGCACAAACTCATGTCGTCTCGCACGGTGGCTTGACGTCACTGGGACATTATCTTGAGGTTGCAGAGTAATCTTAAATGTCTCTTTAGTTTCCATGTGTAGAATTAAGTATTAAATACATGAATGTTAGCGTTGATAGTTTTAGCTCGAGGGTTTTGACCATGGGAAATGAAATTGGGAAAATTATGGTTTCATTTTTCAAAGGACGATTGCCGTCATTTTGGTAACGTTTTCTCTCATTTCTTACTTTAAAGCATGGATTATGTTCCTTTTTGTCATTTTATTTCATACACTACAAGTAATATTTCCTTTCTATTGATAAAAGATGTCAAAGTTTCGCGCCGCCTTCATTTTTGACGGTGATTTGAGCTTTCATTTCTTTAGCTCTAAAATTGAATTAATTATGAGTTTCTTTGATAAATTTTGCCTCAAGCAAAAGGTATATTATGCCTTTTTATCTCTTATACAACTATATACTTTCGTCTTTCTATTGATAAAAAGTGTCAAATTTAGCTTTATTTAGCCGCGTCACTTAGTGTCATTTTTTCAATAATAACTCTTTTCCCTCCAGCATAAAGTATATTTAGTAAGAAGAACTTTAACGAGGTTGATTTATTTTGAACAGTGATTATTGCTTATATTGCTCTATTTATACAAATTTAATTATGATCGCTTTATGGATTTTCGTTGATAGCTTTTCGCCTTTAGTTTGATATACCTCTTTATTTTCATCCATAAAACAAGTCAAAGCTTCACGAGAAGGGTTTAAGTTTAGCTTTTGAGATCGACTTTTCACTTAATATTTACTTATCGCAGTCAATTCTAGTATCCAGATAAAAAAAAGCATTTTAAAAGTACATTTGCACTTTGTAGATATTGATCGCTTTTATGTTGAACCGTAAACTAACTATGCACTATGTATTCTATAAATGTTGACCTGAAGGACGGTAAGTGCTACAGAAGTACTTATACTCTTGGCTGTTATATCACCGACAATATTGCTACTTCCTCACATAAAACTCGTGCGTGTTTGACTTACGTATCAATTCTCCCGCAAGCGATTGCAAGCCGATACAAATTCGTACCGCCGCGTGGAGAAAGTGTACGTTTAATTGCTCGGTGGGGTTGGTAAAAACCTTAACATTTCGTTACGTTTTTTTGCTATTTTGCGCTGTTCCGATGCGTTTTGCCTTGCGTTATATTATATTCAGCGTTTGATAAGTATTAAGTCAAAACACAACTCTCAGTCTAAAGTACTTTGTCTTATAGCTACTCTTCGCTTAATAAACGCATTTTTACATTAGTTCTACATTTTTGTCATTCGCTTAAACGTATATGTTCCGCCGAAGAGGTTACGGAATTCAATGCGGCATTGAATAGATTATCTCGTTCAATCATATCTTTTTCTTTTGAAAGAAATGCCGTCCACATTGAAAAGCGACCTCTGTAATACGATATTAGTCTAATAGTCCTTACGAAACGATATTTCCTTTCATCTTTTACCGACTTTTATCCTTGTTTTATCCTTCAAGACACCCCGGGGATGTTGCACAAATGAAAAGAAGAAAAATAAACTCTTTAGGAATACAAATTAAAATCTCTATAATGGGAAATACAAACATAACTAGGAAGTTTGACAATAAGCGGTTAGGGATAGGCTTAGAATAAATAATAAGAAAAGCTAGTGTTATTACTATTCAAAAAGAAAACAGAAGAGTTTTGTCGCGACTTCCTTCTCTTTGTTTTACCTTTTATTCATATTATCAATGACAATATCCTAACTATGTAATGCGGTATTTTTTTATGTATACTTTGAATAGTAGTCCACTTATTGCTACAACTCCAACAACCAAAGTCTGCAAAAGATTAGCATCATTACAGTTTAGGTTTCACTGGCGAGTCAAATTCAAAATCTCTCAGCTTGAGACATAGCTGCCGGCTTTTATTCGATGCAGTCACTCTGGAGAGCCCATTTCTTAGAAATTACTCGAGCAAACTGTTCAGCAAACAAATCTATTGTGGATGTAACTAAGGATTTCATTAAAGTTTGCCGAGTTCACCTGTTGCCGCAGTGTCGATTGTCGGTGGKGTTATTATGGTTCTTGTACACGTTGCTATCTTTAAACGAATTAACTAACGCTAAATCTTTATGGTTACACGAGTTTGCGGTGGGATTACCTAGCACGTGGAGAAGATGGATACAATTTGAAGACTCTCTACTTCGCGTTTCCATAACGTCATTGTCACGATGTGCGTCCTTACCTCTGCAGCATTTCGACAGTAGTTTAACGTAACGTCGAAATTCCTTGCGGTATTTCTCGTGGAACACGGTATAAACGATTGGATCACACGCGCTGTTCGCAAAAACGCAGAGGTTTGTGATAACTAACCAGCTACTGCAACCCATGGTGTTAGAATTACGCGAAAAATCCATAATCAACCAAACTACATGGTTCGGTAACATGCAGATAGCGAAGAGCACCGTTACCGCGATTGCCATACGTAAAACCTTACGTGTTTCATGCGCGTGTTCGTCTCTCTGACTTTGATGGTAACGTGCAGAACTCTTTGTAAGTTCAAAGTAGATTTTTACGTAAGCCCAGAATATAATACCTAAGGGAATTACGTACTGAATTACGAAAATACTAACTGTGTATGTACTGCGGTAGGACTTGACTGGATTGGGCCAGTTTTCTTTGCATTCTTCGGTCTCTGGATTCACATGGAGAACAAGGCTGTACGGAACTACGAARATCAAAGATGTCAGCCATATTAAGCAGATAACTACGCGAGTAACCGGAAGATTAAGCTGTAACTTCATGGGATAAACTACGGCCCAATATCGACTCAAGCTTATGGCGGTCAAAGTGAAAACGGACGCGAACGCGCACATTGTTTGAAGCGGAAAGATAACTTTGCAAAGAGACTCGTGAAACGGCCATTTATAGGTGTTTTCTTGCACTGGAAGGTCGAATGGTATGCATATTAGCGTAAACGCCAAGTCGGCAGCCGCGAGGTTTACTAGAAAATAGTTCATGACAGTTTTCATGCCCGCTTTTTTCCAAACAACAACACAAACGAAGGAGTTGCCGACAAAGCTGATAAGGAAGATGACACCGTACAGAGCGTACTTGCAGATCTTAAAGTCAAGTCGCTCTTTGAAACACAAATCTTCCTGCGTTAAATTAGTTAAGCGTTCGACGGAAGTGTTGCTTAGAAGAACCATTTTCTCTTTTCTTTACGTTACTTCACAATGTAATATCTAAATTACAAACTTGCTGGGGCGAATTGGAGCCTTTTCAACGTTAGAATTTCCTCGGGCGGCAGTTTCAGTTTCACTTGGCAAGTCTCGTGTTGTTTTTTGGCACGTCCTCAGTTGCAAAGAGGTGTTGAAGTAGACACTTGATGTTTGTGAAATGTGTTTGTTTTCGTTCGTCTAGCGGGTACTTAAGTTTCTTCTACTAAATGTAGCTAAATGATATTGTTAGGTCTTTATATTCGCACAGAACCAACCACTTTAGGCACTTGAGGGTAGTCTATAGTTCTTTTTTCAGTTCTTTTCAAGATATAACCTAAAGTTGATGCTTTATCTCACAGAAACTATCAGTTTATGAACGTGTTTAATGCCGTGCGTGTTACTTTGAAGATAGCTCATCGTTATCTGTGTACAGAGTTCAACGGCTTGTAGTTCCCTTGATGTAGGTTACGTCGGATTTGGAAGTTTACTCTTGATTTCAGATGGAAGCATATGGCGTTGTCATAACTGTCACTGTTTTAATCTTTACATAAATCGAGGTATASACTTTGTGCACTTGTCACTATACTTTACAGAGAAGCAAGCCAATGGCGTTGTTYGTCTAATTGCTCACTGCGTCAATCACCCGCAATGTTATCAAATACAACATCTGCCAGTGCTCTGCTATTTGCTTCAAGAACTCAGGATAATATCCTTAAGCGATGAGTCGATTTGGAAAACCCATCAAACGACAGTCATCAGCTGTTTTGAAGTTAAGTACTTTCTCGAGAAAACGGCTGTACTTGGCAGTATTTTCCGTCTAAGTTTTCTCCTTTTCTTTCTTCACCAGAAAGAAACTGAGACTCTTCTCTTTCTTGTTCTTCTCCCTCTAAAGACTGTCCGTTATAGCCAGGTGTGAGGAGTCTATTGGCAATCTCCTTAGGACTGGAGACAGTCGACGAGAGAGTGTCCGTTTCAAACTATTTATTATATTTTACAGTACGACAAAATACAGCTTTTTTCAAAGTAACACGTCACTTGACCAATCGAAGTCTCGTTATTTGATTGGCTGCTTTTATTGCACTGTAATTCCGCAGACTGAAGTTTTATGGTCAATCTGGAACTCCGCTGGAAACGTCCAACAGGGATTTCGTCYTTACCAGACTAWAGTGTGAATATTACTGACCGTGACGTCACGTACTTTAATTATTTAATGTTTCCACGCCGTCTATGTAARGCCGAGTATTGTCCATGATGAATTACACAGAATTTCAATGTACAAAGATCCTC